ATTACTCCATATGTAATAGACTGACTATAGGACCAGTTTTATATAATACAATTTCATACAATATATATATAATTAGGGGGGTCCCCGCTCTATCTCGCCATCAGTTTGGTCTGAAAAACGTTGAACACCTCTGCCCTAAACTATTGGTCTCCCTGACACCTATAATAATGGTAATTTAATTCAGTCCATAACAATTCTTAAAAGAAAAAAAAAAACTTTAAAAACCTTGTTTAATTCATTTTATAGGACTTATCTTCAAAAAACAGAAACTACTGTACCATTTAGGTCAGAATTGAATGTGAAGGTCCTGTCTGAATAGAATCAAATCAAGTGACATTCTAAGTCACTTTTAGTTTTTAGTTTTTATTGCAATTTTTTAAAGGTTTCTGGAGGTTTAAATCCAGGAAATTGGACTTTGGAAATGTAAGCCCTGTATTCTAGAAAACATAAATGAGTCTTTATGTGCTTCTATTATCACTGCGGCTTAATATCGTCCATGCAGTATTGGCTTTCTATCACAACGCGACTCCTCTCTCTCCGAGATCTGGTGTCAGTAAAAGCAAATTTCTATTTTTAAACGCCTGACCTGTCGTTTTCATCATCCTACCACGATCGGATGATAAAAGTCACATTGAAAAGAAAAAAGCAACCATAGACCTTGATGTATTTTGGGTTTATTTCTGTCTCTGCAGCTTTGGTTTCTCTTTTAAGCTCTAATTCTCCTTCCTCTCTGGTGAAAGCCTAACTCCTCTACATCGGTAATAGGAGCATTCGTTCTTCATAAAAAAGGGCCCGGTGCAGATCAATAAGGTTTAGGATGCAGCTCAGACCTTCAATGGAACAGAAATCTCCCGAGTCAGCATACAGCTACACTTCAGCTCATCATTTCATCATAAAAAACCCTTAATTAGTCCAAAAAAACCACACTGAATGAGTAGTAAAACGGGTTCAGACTTAAATCTTGATTTTCTGAGGATGCAGAGGGACATACAGGCCGGTTTGGCCACTAACCTCTAGAAGTTTGAGATTGTCCAGGTCCAGGGAGCTCTCAGAGCCACCAGACTCCATCATGTTCAGGTTGTGGAGCGCTTGTTTGCCATCGCCTGTTAATACAGAAGAGTGAAGAACAGCGTAAAGGAGGGATCTACAGAGCTTTGTGTTGGACCATAAAAATGAAAACTCTAAAATGGATCTCGAGTTTCATGGTTGTAAGGTGATAAAATGTGAGCAGCTGGAGGATGAATACCTTTGCTCTAACTTGTTATGTGGACAGATTATAAATGCTACCAAAAACATTCAGACGGCCCTGAGAAGAAATCCATGTTTCCTGCTAGTCTTCACAGCTTGGCGCCATGGTAACTCACCGTGCATCATGCGGTAACCAAAGAAGGCTGCTACGGCGACCACAACCAGCACGGAGACTGTTGCCAGGGCGATAATTACCGTTTCCTCATTGCGCAGAGTTCCATCTGAAAGCAAGAACATGACAAAACACAAATCCAAATCACATCGTGACCTTTTTACGAGGGGGCGGGCTTTCTGCGCTCCATGTTAGGGAAAAGTCAAGGCTGGAGTCAATGGTTTGATTCATTACTGATGACTGGGAGAGCCCAAGGGAGGCTGTGATTGACATGCCAGGGTGAGCACGCTTGCTGGCACACATGCAGGAGTCAACAAGGCTCCCTTTAAAGTCTGAGATCTCTTGGCTCCTAATCAAAACAAGGAAGGCGCTGGAATAAACACAGACATATCCACTTTTCTCACACTACAGATGAACATATTGTTTGTTACCAATTGTGCTTGATGACAAACCTCAATCATTTTCAACACCCTTTATAAACTCTAGCTGGGGATTAGCTTTTATTATTTATTGATGTTCATAAGGGTCTAAGAGCTTTAAATTAGAAGTCCCCGACTTCCTGTTTACATGACAGTAAAACAAGAGACGACACCCCTCTCAGTCTCTATAGCAACCATAAGGCTAGAAACAGACCAGCTGTTTTGGATGCAAACTAAGCATCTGTTTTAAGGTGTTTTAAGGTGAGAAATGAAGGGGAGGGGCTAGTATTAACACCACCCTAGATAACCTGGTTACATTTATCCATACTCCTCAAATTAAATTGAAATATCTTTGCCCCAGTATGTAATTTGAATTTACTCTAATTCCAGTGTTTGCCTCGTGGGTTAGAGCAGTGTGTTTGTGATCTTACAAGTTTGCAAGCAACCGGTTTGATCCCCAAAGCCTGCTTGATGGCTCCCTGAGCATGACCCTTAACCCTGCAGCGCTCTCAGCTGCACAATGGGGGGTGGGTCAAATGCAGAGACTGAATTTCCCAATTGTGGGACAATTTTACAATTTACGTTTGTTTTTTTTTGTTTTTTTTTTTCATTTGATTAACCCAAAGTAACGTTTAACTGTTCTAACTAAAAAATTTTAGTGGCCCCTTCCAGGAAAAGCTATGGTACAGAGAAATTTCCAATGTATTTCCAAAACATATCATATAGTGTATATAGTAGAGCAGGGCCCTGCAACCTGTGGCTCCAGAGCTGCAAGTTGCTCTTTGGATCCTTCACAATGGCTATTTATACTGGTTAAAGATGATTAAAAAAAACTAACCAATGGTTTTGAATAAAGTAAAATAACAGTCTTAGTTTTTTAAAGAAAATTTTAACTGCAATTTCACAACAGAATGTAAATAATAATAATAATAATCTATTCTTTCTTGTCATTAGATCGGAAAGTTTTTTTTAAATATCATTTTCCACCAGTAATTTTATACAAAAGAAGATTTATTAAATGTTTTCTGTTTTTTCTTAATTTAAAACCTAAAAATACAACAAAAAAAAATGATTAAGGTGTTTCATAAAAAGGTCCTGTAATATTTGCTATTCCTTAAAGATGTTTTACGTGAAACTAAAACATTTCCACTTGAGGAGTTCTGGATAGAACTTACTGACAGATGAAAAACTTTACAATTTTGGTATATTTCCTGCTCTATGTGGGTTCCTCTGTCAGCTAAAGGCATGTTTTAGAGTCTCTATACTGCATTTAGTGATCATCTATTACTTAATTAGTTGACAATTATTTCAATAATCGATTAATCATGATTAATCAGAATAATTGTTTCAGCCCTTTTGGCTACATACAACAATCCGTGTCTTCATTAGTCTGTTTTAGACTAAGCAGAGATAGAAAGAAGCCTTTTTTTGAGAAGAAAAACCTCCATGCCCAGGTGAAACTTTGATCACCCTTTGCCTGTAGAAAAAAAATGTGTAAGAAAACAAACTTAAATTTATAGGTCGAAATTTCTAACATTTATCAAAGTATCATGTCATCAAAGTAAAACGTGGGCTGCACCAACATATCTCAGGACTTTATTTCACAGCAGGAAATGGGGTGTTAATCAAGATGCATGAAAATATGAACATTTTCAAATACTGACACATGATAACACAAACAATTCAGGCTGCTACTAGAAAGATAGGATTTAAAGATGAGGAGGATTGGATGACCCGAAGCACGCATCTAAATCAACATAAAATGTATTTAAACCAGATCTAAAGAATGCTGTTTGCAGAACATACTTTTGAAACAGATCAGATGCACAAAGCCAATATCAAAGACTGCCATCAAAAGATACATTAAGTTTAAGTAGTTTGATTGCGTGCACACTGATACAGCCAAGTTATATTGATATATAGGTTTTTTGTGCTTTTTTCTTTTTTGCTGTATGTTTTCCGTTTGTACTTTAACTGATAAACAGATCATTGGATCAGATTAAAGATTAAAGATTGAAAAGGTTCTGAAATCATCTGTAAACACAAGATTTTAACAGAGGTGTGTCATTTTTTTTTATTTGCTCTACATGAACAATGGCTCAAAAGTGTCAAAAAAGTATAAATCTGACTTAACAATTGCCTTGAAATCCACCTGAGCGCAACCAGATAAAATAAAAATTTCCTGTGGTAACTCTCAGCAAACACAAACAAAAATCAACTAGTCAATAACTTAATGGGTGGATGTGTAGTGCCGTACAGTGCTTTCACTTACACACTCTTTCTAGTATGAAAGCCTGTGATTATCATGACTTTGAGAACACATCAGACAACCTCACCTGGACTGTAAAGACTACCTCACTTGTCAAAAGGGCAGAGAGGCCCTGTTCTCCCTGCTGCACTCTGGGAAGAGGCTTCAGAGCATTCAATGCCGGTCCAGCAGATTCAAAACAGCTTCTTCCCGACCACCATCACACTGCTAAACTGTTGAAAAAAATCTATATCATGTCACAGACTCCGCATCACACTGATAACACCAAACCAAAATACTGCATATTTGCACCATATAATGCTCTGAAATTCCATCAATGCATTTGCACCACGTTTTTCTCCCACACTGTTGACATTTGACCACTGCTGCACTTTATGGAATGGAAATGTTCATTTCACTACTAAGCTGCTGCTCATTTACTGTCTGACATCTGTACAAAATAAAATATCGTTTTTTATGCACTCTATGAGTACAAAATGATAATAAAAGTTGTCAAAGTCAACGTCTATAATAAAGGGTAAATAAAACAAATAGAGTAAAAGCAGCATGTTCGTGTCTGCTTTGTTTTTTGGAATACATAAAGAGGATGACAGGTTGTCTTAATCGCTCCAGCAAAGTGTCTGCCTACTCTGGCTGTGAGATATTTATTGAATATNGAAAGTACAAAATGAAGGATGCATAAATGGATTGAAGATCATCTGTGGATTGATGGATGGATGTTTTAATGGACATCTGGGTGGCCTTTTCTACTTGTGTTTATATCAGAAAACTGATATAAACACAAACTCAGGCTTTTCTAGAAATGTTCAGACTGCTTTGGAAGCCTGAAAATAAACAAAATCTCTGCAGCTCACATGAAAATGGGTCACTAGAGTCTCTTAGCAGCATAATGATCCAAAACAAATGTTTGTTACCACAGAAACATTTTCAGTCAACAGTCAACCATCCTCTAAAGCAACTACACTGCCTAGATCTAAACCCTACAGAAAACCAAGACAAGATCCAAATATTAGAGAGGAATGTGTTATTCAGTTCCTTCCCCTGTGGAGTATCTCTGTGTTAATGTAGTACTCCCATCACCCTATTCTAATACCATTATCCAGGAGCTTTGTTTTTAGATCAAACACATCATGGCTCTATTTCCTACAGCAGTACGAATCTGCACAGACATGTCAGGAATTAATCCGGCAAAAACAGAAACAGGATTTAAAATCTAAGCCCAAATAAAATTACAATTTCGCAGGTTAATCAAAGACAATCCAATTCAATTATTCCTCAGCAGCTCTTTACTTTCCCCGGTTCTCTCTCTACGCAGCACAGCAGCCACCACCGTGCTCCTACTGTCTGTCTGCAGACAGCGGGCGCAGACGCTCTGTAATCTTTGGAATGTAGTAAGACGGCGCGGACGGTGGGAGAGCGTGTCTGCGAAAGGAGATGAGCTGGCGCTGACACCGCCCTGATCTCGCCGCACACGTTGCCTTCATTCACAGGTGCGGCGCAAGTAAAAAAAAAAAAAAAAAAAAAACACACGGAAGCTATTAATACGTCTGTTAGCTTTTTGACAGCTCAATGGTGCTTTGAAAGCGAGGAGGCTGAAAGGGAAACCATTTTACCTGCTGCGTCACTTCAACTCAAACAAAAAACAACAAATCACACATCCTAAACTTTAACACTTTTTTCCTGACTTTTACAGTTTTTGTAAACAATAAATCCATTTAGATGAAGACTTTGTGTTATAATGTCTAAGATTTAAATTTAAAACTCTGAAAACTTGAGCAATTTTAAATAAAACATTGAGTAACAACTTAAATCCACATAGAGATCATTGACATTAATTGGCAAACATTTTTTATATCATGTCTATTTTTCCCCTTTACTTCACCATGATGCATACAGATGCAGAAAACGGCATAAACAACCACATCTGGAGTAAGTGAAGGTTATCTGCATGTCCTCACCGATCAACTGAGGCGGCGTGGGGCTCGGCACCAAGAAGTTCTCCGTAAAGTTGACGTTGCACATGTCGCTGCCACAGCAGCAGAAGTGGTACGTTCCATTCTGGATCAGCGAAGGCAGCCTGGTCACCACGCAGCGGTCGTCATGGCACTCATGGTTATCGTCCAGGTGAGTCCAGCAACCTGAGGCAGGAAAAATTGGGATCTTTTGACTTTTTTTTTTTTATTCAAATGTCAAAAAGAGTTAGCAAACTGGAAAAATAGTTCTATTTGACATCTCACAGTAAAATAGATTAACCTTTTCTGTTTGCTCTATCAAACAACTTTGAACCCAATCAAACGACCAATTCAAACAGATATTTCCAATTAAATGAAGAAAATAAGTGAGCGTAAAGGTTAAGGTTTTTATTAAGACTCATTCTAAGCAGGAAAAAGCTTCACAAACTAGCCTTTTGTCCAACTTATAATCCACAACAGTTATTTTGTCACTTGTTTAACTATATATCAAATAGATGTCTCATTAAAAAAAAAAAAAAAAAACACAGGAAGCACTTATTCTTCTTAATAACTCTTCCGAATTCGCACAGGAAGTGACAGGTTTGCCACGGCCTAGTCAAAGTCTACACTGCAATTTGCCAGAGATGCTGTTTTACTCTATGAGCGCCGGAGCTTGGGTTGATAGTTTATTTTCCTTGATAGATGAAATCAGCATATGTAAGCTACTTTTTGTATTTAATCAGTAGCAGAAACAAAAAATAAAGAAAGAAACAAATAAATGTGTAAGTTGGTGTTACCTTGTTTGACCAGCTGTAGTTCACCCGGAGGGGTTTTCTCCCACAGGCCAAAGCAGTGCTTGCCTTTGGCACATCGAATGGTGGTGTTCTCTGGAGAGACCGAGCCTTCACCCTCCGTCACTCGCTTCACCTCCCACTGCTGCTGCTGGTCTGTGAAGGCACACTCCCTCTGCTCGCCCTGCGCAGCTGAAAACATGCAGAGGTATTTATTACCATCTTTGTTCTTTGCACCTGACAGGTCCTTGGACTCCGAGAGAGTTATTATTAGATCTCAACCAAATGAAGTTTGTTTCCCAGATGAAGATCTAACTTAGCATCATGGCAGATTCATCAAGGAAAAATCCAACAGATTGAGGAAAAATGAAGCCATAGTAGGGATGCACGATATTGGGATTTTGGCCGATATCCGATATGCCGATATTTTAAAACTCATGTAGCCGATA